CCTGCAGCAGCGGAACAAGAGATTTCGACTACATCTCCATGTCCTAAAACTGCGCTAGTACCACAACCGTGTCCCCCACCGCCAACGAGACAAGAAATTTGCACCGCATCTCCGTGTTGTACACCCGCACCTTCTGAAATAGTACCAAAAGTACCAGAACCGTGTACACCATCTGCATCAAGACAAGAAAGTTCCACCGCATCGCCGTGTTGTACACCCGCGCCGTGTTGTACACCCGCGCCTACTGAAATAGTAGCAAAAGTACCAGAACCGTGTACACCATCTGCATCAAGACAAGAAAGTTCCACCGCATCGCCGTGTTGTACACCCGCGCCGTGTTGTACACCCGCGCCTACTGAAATAGTACCAAAAGTACCAGAACCGTGTACACCATCTGCATCAAGACAAGAAAATTCCACCGCATCGCCGTGTTGTACACCCGCGCCGTGTTGTACACCCGCGCCTACTGAAATAGTACCAAAAGTACCAGAACCGTGTACACCATCTGCATCAAGACAAGAAAGTTCCACCGCTTCGCCGTGTTGTACACCCGCGCCGTGTTGTACACCCGCGCCGTGTTGTACACCCGCGCCTACTGAAATAGTACCAAAAGTACCAGAACCGTGTACACCATCTGCATCAAGACAAGAAAATTCCTCCGCATCTCCGTGTGCTACACCTGGGCCTACTGAAATGCCGTCGATTACGACCAACTGTCGAAATGGTGAAATTTATCCCGAGGCCACGGGTAGTTGTGACCAATTCCTAAAGTGCTATAACGGAAAATTCGTTTTATTGATATGCCCAGCTGGTCTGTCTTTCAACCACCAAACAAAGAGCTGCGATTGGCCAGGAAACGTGCCGGGTTGTGGTGCACCAGGTAAATAATATCACGAGAATTTATCATTACATATAATCTAAACGTAATGAGAGAACTAATAGACTCTATTTTTCCAGCAATCTAAGGCGAATAGTTCTATTTGAAAGTAAACGACAAGAGGACGGTAATTGCAGGTATGTAGAATGGGATCCTTGAACTATATAATTTCAAGTTATCAAGCGTAATCTTCTCTTCAACAATGAATGGCGGCGGTAGAGAATCCATTACCCCTTATCATCACATAAGAGGTGTGAGGGTGAGGGGCTACGTAATAAAATGAAACAGGAGTTGCATCTTCTTGATGACAACTCACAATAATAAAAAAATGCGGTAGGCAACGCACCTGCCGAGCGTGGCAACTATGGCAAAAATTTCCTCTAGATTTGTGTACTTTTGATAAGCTGTAATGAATGACTGAATGAATGAAAGCATAAGGTTATGCTTTCATTGAACTTGATTGAACTTGCGTGATACTCATTTTGTGAACAGTAAAATTGTACGAACAATATTGTTGATACGAATGATATCAATAATTGTAATTAAATTGTTAGCGATGCATAGTTTATCATCTCTTCTGCATACTTTATTACTTGGTTGATTATATAAAATAAAATAAGGTATTTTATGTGCAGGTGCTGTATTCTTCCCTTGACACGGTACAAATTTATTACAAGATTAAGATGGATGGCACAAATTTGTCACTCAGATTAGTTTTAATTTATAAAATTGAATGTAAACAATGTTCGATTAAATAAGATTGAAATAAAATTACTTAAATAAAACATGTGTATATTTTATACCTTAGACTTATAACGCAATGCCTCAAATTTAAAAACAGCATAAAAATTTAATTCAAACTTCGGTTTCGACCAAGGTTTGTAGAAAAACACCAAAAATATACCTAATAAGTAGGTTTCATTGAATGACTTAAAATTGTCCCCTTTCCACAAATCTCATTACATCCTGCATCCATCTACTAATGAGTGAAAAATACCGGACGTTTTTTAAATAAAACTGAACTGACAAACGAGCTTATAGTGCACCTGATGGTAAGTGGCCACTGCAGTTCGTGGATATCTGCAGACAACTTCAAAGAAGGTAGGCTACAGATGCGTTTTCACGTCTCAGAACTAAGGTGGAATGCCTCGCAGCCTGTTATTAATTATTATACTGGCTCTCTATACACTGCTATTTGGCGACAGGAACAAGTAAAAGGGTGGACCCTACTCAGACAAGCTCCACGACAGAAGATTAGTTCTACCAACTAGTATTAGGGCTCCGTATAAGCTTACATAAGTATGCAGATTGTTCACCCCTCCCGGGAAAAAAAACTTAAAGTGTAGTGAAAGAGACGTTTTCCTCTACACCGGTCTGCATCACGGTCGATGCTCAAATTGCAATTAGTAAGTTTATTTAGTGAGAGCGCGGTCCTACCAAGATCGAGCCGACCCATTCGTGCTACAGCTATACTACTAATATAGCTGCAGCATGGCTTTAACACGTATAAACTCTTTGAATATGTTCATAAACTGAACTTTAACGAAACTGAATAGTTACTTAATTTACGTCGTTAAAACTTATATGCAACCTACTACACGCATACACACTCTGTCATACTTCACAGAAGGAGGCTTGACTACACTCTACAACTTTAAATTACTTATTGATTAGTGATCTGTTTTGTATACAGTGAAATGTGTAATCTTAAAGGGAGGAGCGCTGCTGTCTGAAACACAGATATTAAGTTATCTAGTTGTGTCTGAACTATATTTATTGTTCACTGAATTGTATTAATTGTTAAGCTGTATCTCAAAGTGTTTGTATAATATAAATTAAGATATTCTTTGCTTAAAATAATAAATTATTATTATTATATCTCAACGGATAAGTAAGCCGCAGTGGCAAAGGATCGGCCATATAGCTCCAAGAACCGACAATCGATGAGGAAATTCTTGAAAAAGTTCGGAAAAAATGGTGCTCGGCTGCTTTATGCTCATATTAATTTATAGCAGAGCAATTTTTGTAAAAGTCAATCTGCATTTTAACTAGTTCACTGTCACGTGACCCACATATGAGTCATTGCTATTGTCTAGTGTCTGGAAACCGGACAATGACTAACACTGTCATTGTCCGGTTGTCAAGGACCTGATCCTTGAAACCAGCGATGATTCTCATCGAAGGTGAAAGGAAAACTTTTAGTGGCGTCGTTTGCCACGTTTTCAACATCTATTCCTTGTGGTAATGCTTGTTTAATGGCGTCCCAAACGATATTCTAAATTTGAGTATGTCAAGATTAAGTGAAGAATTGGTGACAATCAAAAACTTAAGAAAATAAAATGTTCCTCAATACTTTAGGAGATACAACACTTTACTTGGTAGGGTTCTAGCCTGAATTCAAGCTAGCAGTCTCCCCTCGAAAACACCGTTATTGTTTGCTTTTGAGATGTGATTCTATTTTAAGATTTAGTGACCATTTGCTTAGTGGCTTTGATTTACCGAGATTGAAATATATTGCGTCAACGGAACCGGAGTTATTTAAATCCATGTCTTAGCGAGAATTCTGGCTTGAAGTTTATGTATCAGAGAATAGCTTCGGAACGCCTATGTCTTTCGTTTTGAAATATTATAACGTGGCTTGATCTATTATGTCGTCTCATGTAGGTGTGGCGTGAAACAATGTAAAAAATTTATGATTCGATTTCGTACCATAAGAGTATGGTATGAAGCACCCATTGTTACTTGAATTGTTGTATACTTTAAAGGACTCGAAGACACCGCCATCTATCGGAAGCCATCTTTTTGGCTTATCCCATTGGCACCCTTTACGCCACCCACGGGGCGAAATGGGGTGATGTATGTCATCATATTGGGTATAAATATTCTTATTAATCGTAAATCACATACACATAAAATCATCATAAATAAAGGTTTATAAGGAAAGAACCAAAATACAGATTAACTTAATGTAGGTTCAACTTAACACTGTCATTGTCCGGTTTCCAGACACTAGACAATAGCAAGCACCTCGAGAACTTTTTCAAGAATTGCCTCATCGATTGTCGGTTCTTAGAGCTATATGGCCGAGCGTTTGCCACTGCGGCTTACTTATCCGTTGGGATATAATAATAATAATAATTTATTATTTCAAGCAAAGAATATCTTAATCTATCCTCTATACATATAATAAAAATGTAAATAGCAGATGTCTGTACATTTTAAATTTTTTTAATAAAAGTGATTGAGGGGTAGTAAAAATAAGTAATTAAATATATTTCTACCATTTTTAGAATTTTCTGTCTGTCTGTCTGTTTGTTTGTTAACGTATCACGTATAAAGTACTAATTTATATCATAAGAATTGTTAAGGAAATTATAAAGAGTATCTTCGGGTTACATTTAGTCTTTATTTCATTAAAATCTAATTTCAAAAAATTCAATAAAATTATCTGAAGTATGGGTTGAATCATCAAGTGCATTTTAAACTAATACCATATCATAAATCATAATTAAATTATGTAAAATAATGTTTTATAATGATATAATTATGTATATCTAAAACGCAGTAAAGAAAAGTATTAAAGAACGTATTAAATATATTATACAAAAATATATTAACCTTATTAACAAAATCTAAAGCACAATAGTTAACCAATTTCATCGATAGATGGCGATGTTGTGCAAATGTAATGCAAATGGCCGGTTGTGGTTTTTTCCTGTAGATGAGTTTTCATATTTTACGTATATATATTATACGTAGTATCATATTAGTCTGTGTATTCCTCGCTGCCCTACTGCGTGTTGACAAACTCAATTTATTCTTTACCGCCGAGTACTCTATGTGGTAAATCAAATTTTAAAATAGCTTTTAACAATTGCGTTGGTTTTGGCGAGGATCAAACTTTATTTTTGCTTACTGTGCAGGCACTGATTTATAAGTTCTTTTACGTTTTATATAATGTACAAATCGCGTCAATAAATCTCATTTATTTTTAGAATTGATATTAGCAGCGCCATCTCTCTTTAAATATATACATATAATAAAAATGATAACATGTGTCTGTTTTGTACATTGTATATTATATTTTTGTGGTTAAAATCATTATGGGGAACTGAAAATAGTCAGTGAATATACCGTCATACCGTCTACTACATGTTTTTTCTTTGCTCCTCAAAATTTCGTATAATTAATGTTTAAACTCAGTGCTAAGAAAAATAAGTTTTGTATTAAGTATATAAACACTTTAGTTATCATTCAACACCGTGGACCGTGTGTTAACTCATTTAAATTGGTGATATTCAAGTATTTTAATATTTTGTTTAAACATTTTAACAAAGTTCACCGTCAGTTAGTGTTAATGCGTTGTGTATTGATAAAACGCGTAAGTGACACAGTCTGCACGGCGCTTAGGACGTTCTTGCCGTAACCTCACTTTGGCACCGATTCTTATGACGGCGGTCTTAACTTGGAGTTGATATTTATTAAATTCATACGACGAAGAAGATAAATTTCATTTCACTTAATAAATTAAGATAAAATTAATTATTATGGCTGTGTCATTGCAGTCATGGGGATGTTGCTCTAATGAATTAATAGAAGAATTTGAACAGTTTATTAATTGTACGTACTGTAAAAAATCTTACCATTTTTTATGTTTATCCATTCCTGAAATCGCTCGGGACTCTGAGGCTTATGACAAATGGAAATGTCCGGAATGTATAAATTTAGCACCAAAGACCTCAAAAAAAGACTGCACACCTACTCGTAATATTACTACTACCAGAGGAAATAAGCGACCGGCATTAAACTCTCCTCCAAAAGCAAGTCCGGTTACAAGTGAAAACGTTCGTACTATTGTCCAAGACGTTATCAAGAAAGAGTTCAATGATATGCTGAAACAACTAAATAATAGTATGATCGGTGTTATTACTAAGGAGCTGGAACCTATAAAAAACGAAATGAGGGACCTTAAAGAATCTATGTCCTTTATTAATAAAAAAATTGAGGAAATCGAGTCAGAACAGCTCGCAGCTAAAAAATCTTTTAAAGTGCTGCAAGATATAAATACTCATTTAGGAAATACAGTTTCTGATTTGGTGCAACGACTAAATTATTTGGAGCAGCAATCTCGATCCAATAATTTGGAGCTTCAGTGTTTGCCTGAAAACAAAAATGAAAACTTATATTCAACTGTCAAACAGCTGGGAATTATAATTGGATGCGAATTAAAAGACGAAGATATTCTTCACTGTACCCGAATAGCTAAAATGAGTTCTAGCAACACTCGTCCTCGATCTATCGTGATCCAATTGGCTTCTCCTAAAGTACGTGATCAGATTTTGGCTGCAGTTATCAGCTTCAATAAATCAAATCCGCAAAACAAACTCAACAGCGAGCACTCCGGTCATACAGGTATCAAAAAGCCAGTTTATGTCGTCGAGCATTTGTCTCCATCTAATAAAGCTTTACATGCAGCTGCCAGATTGAAATCAAAAGAAAAAGGATATAAATACGTCTGGGTAAGAAAGGGTAAAATCTTCGTAAGAAAAAGTGAAAACTCAGAATATATTTACATAAGAAACTCGGATACTTTAAGTAAAATAGTATAATTACACATCCTTATTTAATTTGAGCAAGTAACAAAAATATCAGAATAAAATTCAAGAACTTAAAGATATATTACCAGAATAGTAGAGGTTTAAATACGAAAACACTAACTTTTTATCGAAACGTTTGCTGTAATGATTACGATATCATAATTTTGACAGAAACGTGGCTGAATAGCGCAGTACTGAATAGTGAACTGTTTGATAACAGATACGTGGTATACAGGAGGGATAGAGAAAGTTGTAACCTACAATGCGGTAAAAAAGGAGGAGGAGTCTTGATTGCTATAAAGACGAATATTAAATCGAAACGCATTAAGTGTTGGGAAAGTAGCTGTGAAGACTTATGGGTTATTATAGACTTTCCTGTGTCACACTCTATCCGTCAAATTGCTTTATGTGTGGTTTATCTACCTCCACCTGTACGAGGTACTGTATTAGAGCATTATATAAATCATTGCAATAACGTTTTTGAACAGATTGTAAACTAACACGTTTGTATTGTGGGGGATTTCAACTTAAGTAATATAGAATGGAGTCTTATAGGAAACCAAACTTATACTTCAATACCAAATATTAGCCAAACATTAATAAATTTTGCTAACGTAAACAACCTCGTTCAATGCAATCGTGTGACTAATATAGCTGGTCGTATACTTGATCTTGTTTTGACAACCATCTTATCTTGTAGTGTAAGCAAAAATATCGATGCCTTAAGTAAAATTGACCTACAACATCCACCTCTTAATATTGTGATTCACGTAGATAATGAAACTAGATTACCATATAATATCAATAATAAGAGACCAAATTTTTATAAAGCAAATTACGAATTAATCCGTAAATTTTTACGAGAAATTAGTTGGGTAGAGAAGTTTGATGGATTGTGTGATGTGAATGAGTTTCTTGAGATATTTTACGAAATTTTGTATACAGCAATACGAAATTTTGTACCTTATTATAAATTAAAAACTTACAAATTTCCATCGTGGTTTGATCATAAACTTATTAAATTATTGAACGAAAAAAATAGGATAAGGAAGCGATATAATAAATATAAAAATCCGTTGGATAGAATCGAACTAAAACTTATAGGAAGGCGTTGTGAAATCTTAGCAACTAAGAATTACAATTACTACCTAAGAAAATGTGAAGATGCACTCTCGAAAAACCCCAAACTGTTTTGGTCGATGGTGAAAGACAAGAGGGGTGGGTCAAGTTCATTTCCGACAACCATGAGCGATGGATCATCTTCCACCTCAGATAGTACAGTTATATGTGAGATGTTTGCTTCTTACTTTTCCTCCGTTTATAGCCCAGAGAATGATGATAGTTATGATGAATGCATGTCCGATTACTTACAATCACTAGTAAATAACAGCTTATGTCTCTCAAATCCAAAAATAGAACACGATACAATTTTAAAAAAACTAGAAGGACTAGATTGTAATAAAGGCGCAGGGCCAGATGAAATACCACCAATTTTTATAAAAGAATGTGCCTGTGAATTGATATATCCTTTAAAATTAATTTACAACTTGTCTTTAGCTTCTGGCGTATTTCCTTCAAAATGGAAAATAGCAAAAGTATTCCCCATACATAAGTCATCAAATATCGATATTATTTCCAATTATAGACCCATTTCAATTCTGTCAACCTTTGCCAAAGTATTTGAGTTGTTAATCTGTCATCATTTTCAACAACATTTAGGCCTGTATATAAGTGATCATCAGCACGGGTTCTTCAGGTCTCGGTCAACTAGTACGAATTTAGTTCCCTTTACGGAGTTCCTGTTCGAGGCTATTGACATGGGCTATCAGGCTGATGTTATTTATACTGACTTTAGCAAAGCTTTTGACAAGGTTTCGCATAGGATCTTGATTTCTAAGTTGAGTGCCTACGGGATTTGTGGCTCGTTACTCAAATGGTTGAATTCGTATTTAGTGCACAGGACCTTCTTTGTTGCAATTAATGGTTTTCAATCAAATACAAAAACTACAAGTTCCGGTGTTCCTCAGGGTTCTCATTTGGGACCAGTTTTATTTAATTTTTTCATAAATGATATTAAAGAATGTTTTCACTTTTCAAAATATTTCTTATATGCCGATGACTTAAAATTTATGAGAATAATTAAGAATGATGATGACACCAAATTGCTACAAGGTGACATTGATAGACTAATCCAGTGGTGCTGCAATAACAGAATGTGCTTAAATACAAGTAAATGTTATCATGTTAAATACTCCAAAAAACAGAATTTAATACATGTCAGTTACTTCATTTATAATAATAAAATTAAGGAAGTCGAGACTATTCGGGATCTTGGCGTAATATACGATAAAAAATTAACTTTTGTACCACATTTGGATAACATTATTATGAGAGCATCTAAAATGTTGGGATTTGTTATAAGGAACTCAAAAAATATGCATTACAAAACTAAAATATTTCTTTACAATAGTCTAGTTCGTAATATTTTAGAATATTGTAGTATGGTCTGGAGACCACACTATGCTACACATTCATTACGTATTGAACGTGTTCAAAAGCGGTTCCTCTGGCATCTAGCATATTCTATTGGTAAAGCAAAAAGCTACGGTCCTATAATAGCAAATTACATCTTTTTAATGTGGAAACCTTACAGAGTCGCAGAAAGTATAATGATGCAGTTTTTGTACATAAAATATTTAATTCTACATTTAACTGCCCAAGTTTAATGGAACTTTTTAAATTTCGTGTACCCTCGAGAGTACCCCGCAGTTCTATTGCACCACTTACTTCACCATTAAGAAGAACTGTATTGGGAAGGAATTCTCCATATGTCAGATTCTGTAAAGTTATTAATGAATACAGCGATCAAATCGACATTCACTTTGACTCACCCAGAATATTCTCTACGTGTCTCCGTAAATGTATAAGTTAATAGCGTAAAGTAGATATTTTTTTAAATTTTAAATTTTTTATTATTTTCATTTTAATTTTAATTTTTTGAGTTTATGTAGCACTATTCTTACTAATAGATATATTTTTAATTTTAGTTGAGGAATAACTTATTGTTTTTTCAGTTTATTTTTATAAAGTTATATGCATGCGGAGTTTACTTTTAAGTAATTGTAGCACTTTTGTTAATACTTTTAAGTTATTGTACTAATTTGATGTGTTAGTGTTAGCAATTGTTGGTAAACCTAATAAATAGAAAAAAAAAATAATTAAATAAGTACATTTTTATAATTTTTAGTATAGTCTGTCTGTCTGTTTTTTTATGAACGCGTCACGTCTAAAGTAAACATCTTTTTTTTTTCAAAAAAATCGTTAAGAAAATCATAAAGCGTATCTTCCAGTTATATTTAATCTTTGTTTTATTGAAATTGGTTAATATATATTAATAGATAGAATCGAAAGTAATGATTATTATTTTGAAATGTAGGTTCGAATTTGTTCAATGGCGCCATAAAATCTTCATTAAAGTTCAGTTTATGAATATATTCAAATAGTTTGTACGAGTTCGAGCCATGCTGCAGCTATATTAGTAGTATAGTTGTAGTACGAATGGGTCGGCACGGTAGAACGGTAGAACCGCGCTCTCACAGAGTACCAGCTATTTTACGCTAGTGCTTAACACTGCTGGTTTCGTATGGTGCGTGTAGTGAACCGGAGACCCTTTTTACTGGAAAAAAGGCATTCCATCTTAGTCCTCACGGGTGACAATGCATCTGTATTTTGTTTCTTTATTAAGGATATATATAGATGTCTATGGGTCACAGTAACCACTTACCATCAGGTGGACTGTGTGCTCGTTTGTTACCCTATACTATAAAAAAAGTTTCCTTTAGCACTCTCTATGTCAATCACTGTGGTTCTACTGCGAATATTGTCTTTACGATCTTATGCTTAGCTCTTCAATGCGCTATATTTTTTTAATAGATGCCAACATCGTCAAGTAGTGGTGGCGGAAGTAAACCCACTACCCCATATCTTGCCGTAGCTGGCTTAATAGGCGATAGAGGGAAATTAAACAAGAGATGGGCAGCAGTATCTTCCTGACAGTAAATTACATAATAAAATATTGCGGTTTCCAACACGCCAGTCAAGCTTGGCAACTTTTGATGAATGAATGAATGAACAAAGTCTTTTAAGGTTAAAAAAACGTGTGTGGGTACTTATGTACGCACGTAAGAACTTATACTTCTTTAGCGTAACAAAACAAAAATAACTAAACTAAAACACGTTTTATAGATTAATATATAGGGTAAGCAGTATAATCATTGGCACTTTAAGCGGATTTCTACTTGTAAGTGGTTAATCCTCGTAAATAAACAAATTTATTATATTTTTTATGGTTTTATTTGATTTTAGTTTAGATAGCCATAAATAAAATAACGCATTACATTTATAAATTTTTTTTCTTTCTTTAAAAATGTTTAATTAAGTTAAAAATGTAATTACACTTTTTTCTAGGGAATGTTACAATCATTGGCACTTTAGCATAGTGAATGGCACGGTAAATTAAGTATAATCATTGACACTATTAGAAGTCTTAAAAAGTTATACCCAGATCTTTCTAAGCCCCATCTTATTGTTATAAGACTTATTGTTAACAAATCTTCTTCAAAAATTTTCCTTAGATCTTCATCTGAAAGCGGTTTCGTTGGTCTACCATGTTTTTTTCTTTCTTTGTATATATTTTTGATGTGACTTTTTTAGTAAAATCTTTCGTGTTTTCTCGATATTTTGTAGAAATAGAACTTTATTTCGGTTTTTCAGATTAAAAATTTAGAGAGTATTATAATGTCAGATTTTTTGGCTTCGTTCGGCTCGTTTTGTCTGCCGACTTCCAAAAAGGAGACGGTACTCAATTCGACTGTACGTTTTTTTATGTGTGTTACCTCATAACTTTTAACTGAGTGAACCGATTTCGATGATTCTTTTTTTATTTGAAAGCTGGTGCTACTCGTGTGATCCTATATGAATTTGATCAAGGTCAGACTAAATATTCTTAATAAGTTATATTGAAGTCGGCTGTACAAAATGTTTAATTTTAAATTATTATTTTTCAGTATTTTTGTATATTTGGCTGACTAATTCAATTCTGCATTTTCCGTTTGTGCCCAATTTTTCCATTTTTTTTAGCTCCGCTGCTTCCGAATCTTCACTTGTTAGCACAAATTAACGGCGTTGTTTACCTGCTTTTTGCTTTTTGATAAGTATTTGGCAATGAAAAAAACTATATAAATATTTTTAGGGCTTTCTAAAAGATTTTTGTTCGTTTGGACATCCACGATCACCCATTCACCTCAAACAAATTCTAAATTTGCTGCCAAGTAGATGAAAAACGTAAGGGTTAGTTTTCTTTCTGATACTCAACAATAATCTCTGCAGGTTGTATACGCTCTGGTACTGATAAACCATAATTAAGTGAAATGATACAAGGCAAATTTGATACAGGTATTTCTGATTCAGTCGTTATTAGTCGTTATTCTAAAAATATTTGGCAACTCGGCGTAATGGCGCGGAACGGTGATCATCTAAAATGGCTTGCTGTGATTTCAAGGGCATCGGACACTTTGTTTAATCCACTTTGTCTGGACTAAATGGGCACATTCCACATGTCTCAAAACCATTTCATAATTAAGATTTATTTCAATACGCTAAAAGTCTTGCTAACATAGGCCCGCATCTGTTTTAGTAACCTTTTTGTCAAATTGTTTGTCCATCATTCGAAGACAGGTTTACGCCACATATCTTTGGTGGGCCGAAATGCAGTGATATCAGCTGGTTGCAATAGTCGCGTTACATTCAGATTGCGGCAAAGTTGCGCCGTATTTAAGATAGTAAATAACCCTTTCTCTAGGCACTAACTTTTGAACGTCTGATCACATTTTCTATAGAGGGAAAGTAATAGGTTTTACCATCTACTCCAAAGAACAGTGATGCAAGACTTCGATTAGGCATGATCCACCTCATAGACGTTTTATTCTCCCTCTATGAAATGGTTTAGTATGTATGGGGTATTTATTCAAAAACATCACAACATTGATATTTTTATGACATCGAAAACTGTGCCAGGACCAGGTCGGCTTTTCAGCTTCTTCGTTTTTTTGACTTTACTTATTTAGTGGGAACTGTAAATTCGCGCGTGGAATGTTAAATGTTAGTGCGGCAGTTATTTCTCTAAAGCGCCCGCTCTTAATAGCGGTATTCTTCATCAATTCAAAATATGAAAAAGTTCAGTCATAATTATTGGCACTACTCAAAGGATATAGTCATTGGCAGTGTCAAGAATAGATTTTGGACAAAAGAAAGGAAGTATAGTGATTGACGTATATGCCAATGATTATGTAGTCAAACAAAGTATAGTCATTGGCACCATTAAAAAATACAATGCTTCTATTTCACAACGATAAAATAACTTTTAATATGCTTTAATGGCGTAAATTAATAAAAATAGACAGAAACTTGCATATAAACTAACCTAAAAATCACATTTTTGTCTCAAAATCTAGCCACAAAACCTTAACTTTTTGTTTAATTTTAACGGATTTGTCCGCACACATTTTTAAAACAGCCCTTATAGGAAAATAGTTGACACTTTAAATATAAATGTGTCTGTTAGTATAAGTTATTATAAATCTTAGCAATATCAGTGTAGCTGTGATATAGAAAAAGGATAACATTCTTAATATTCAGATTAAAATAGCAAAGTGCCAATCATTGAAGGAGTACCAACATTAGTACTGTTTACCCTATTTGAATAAACCTTGAATATAGTTATCAATTCTCACGAAAACTTGACAGTTGACAGAAAATTACCAACTGAAGTTGTCGCTTATAATTTTCGGTGTGCGCGCGCATCGTAAAAAAATTCACTCTCATTATTTTTCTCAAACGTGCCAAAAGAAGTATAACTTCAAAAACTGAAAACAATTCTGCACTAAATCTTGACATAACAAAATTTTGGATAACGTTGGGGAAGATTCTAGCTAGAAGGACGCCTTTACTGTTCAGGTGTTCACCTAAGTAGGTGCCGCCCTCTTTTTTATTTTTGTGAGGTATCGATACAGCCACTGCTGTATTCCGGAGTAGGAGAATCATTATAACAACAGGTTGTTAGATATTCCACATCAATACTCAAGTGCAACAATACACCCTTCCTGTCCTTCTGTCCTTCTTCTGTCCTTCTTTGTTTAGATTTAGTAGCCACCACTTAACATCAAGTGAAAGTAATCACCCTTAAGTCAATTTATCTGACGAGACAGACCTCCATCAAAACTATATTTTTTTTATAGTTTAAGGGTGAAAAACGAGCACACAGTCCACCTGATGGTACGTGTGTGCTGACGCTCATATACATCTACATCTATACTCGATTAGGAATCAAAATGCAGATGCATTGTCACCCGTGAGGACTAAGATAGAATGCCTCGTTTCCAGTAGAAAGGGTCTCCGGTTCTCTATACTCACCATACGAAGCACAGCAGGGTCAAGCTGCTATTTTACCCTAGTATTCTGTAAGAGCGTGGTACTACACCGGTCGAGCCGGCCCATTCGTGTGGTACAGCCATAACATAGCTGGAGCGTGGTTTTACTACGTTAAAAAACGTTAACGTACAACAGGTGTATAGAATGTGGCTGACAAACGAGCATATGATAATTGAATGCTGTGACCCATAGGCATCTGTATTTATCCTCGACTAAGTATCAAAATACATATTCTTTGCCACTCCTGAGGAATAAGATGGAATGCCTCGTTTTCAGTGAAAAGGTTCTTCGGTTACCTATACCCACCATACGAAACACAGCAGCAAAGCTGCTATTTTACGCTGGTACTCTGCGATAGCATGGTCCTACCCCGGTCGCGCCGACCCATTCGTGCTGCAACCATAATATAGCTGTAGCGTGGCTCTGCCAGGTATAAAAGTATTTATGAAAACAATACTAGCACGATATGAACATTACTAATACTTCCATTAACGACTGCAAGTAAGCTAAAAATGCTTGTGTTAGAAGTGTTTCACGGTGGTAGTCAAACCATGGATTCGAATTCAAGACTTTCCAAATTTGCAATCCGCATTCCTAATTCCCATTAGGTCCATTTATTAATTTATTTATTTATTTACTTATTTATTTCTCACCACAAACGACATGGACATTGGTTACATTAGTGTTACATCTCTATTAGGTTAATGT